TTTTTTTAAAAAAAAAATTCTAAAGATTTTTTGATAAATTAGGGCAACATTAATAAAATTTTTTTTAAACTCTATTGAGATGATGAAAGATGAAACAACTAAACGCAAGATTAATGCAATTGAGGTAAAAAAAAAAATTTATAAATTTTTTATTTATCAAACTCATTATTTTAAATACTAATTTTATTTTAGACGTTATGTATACTTCTTCAAGGAATTTTTGCCAAAAAATTCAATAATTTTAGTTCTGATGTCATTAATTTATTGACCGGGTTGAATAACGCAAATGCTGTTTTTGCTGTAAGAAAAATTACGATTTAATATGATTGAAATTATTATCGATTTGTTTAAATTTACGTATGAAAATTATTTTAAAAGCAATTGGTTGATGCAATCAAGTATTTAATGAATGAGGAAGACGCAGGTATTATATATTTGTGTTTGTAATGTCAATCATATTTATAATATTAATAATTAAAGTTTTATTTACATTCATTTATGCAACAAATTAAATAGTAATCAAATACGATGCATTACGTCTTGCCGTCGTGATTGTATGTGGGAATAGTAATATCAACCAAAATAGTATAAACGAATTTTTCATGAAAAATGATATCTTTGATCCACTTGTCAAGGTAAGTTTAATTCGTTGATTTAATCATGAAAAATGTTATACAAATAATATTATAATTTAATATTGGTTTATTTATTTATCTAGATAATTATTGCTCCTGAGACTTCTTATGTCGCTTATGAAGCTATATTGTTATTGGGAATATTGGCAAATTATAATAAGCATGAATCCAAAAATCCATATATGACAAAAATTACCGAAATAAAGGATGAATCTGTTTTTCAAGTACGTAAATTCTTTATTGATTTTATTCTTTAACATTGATTTTTTTAATATATATATTTTTTTGACAAATAATTCTAGAAAATATTGGATGCTGTAGCATCAACATGCAAGAAATGTCGCAAGTAATTTTGATTTAGTGCACATATGTGCTATACTATGCTATTAAGTAATAAAATAACATTATTGATTATAATTATGGCATTCTTTAAGCCATTATATTGAAATTCAAGATGATGATGAGACTTATAAATATTCAGTTTCATCAGCTCTATCATATATCATACCATGGGGAATGAGTAGCAGTACAAAAGAACAATCTGATATTACTGATCCCGAACAAGCTTTTAATCAATTGCAAGTATATTTTTACTTTTGTTACTTTTTATTTTTGGTATTACGATATCTCTAATAGTAATATCTTTTTCTAAATTTTTTATATTTCAGGCCATCTGCAAATATAGCGATCCTTTTGGTTTTTTATGATTTTGTGAATAATAACAAGGGATTTGTTGCATACTTATCAAAATCTATAGCAGAAGCAGAGTCAAGTTTAGGTTTGTAATTAATGAAATATTTTAATATATATATATCTTATATTTTAAATTTTTATTTTTATTTTAACGATGATATGAATTTTATTAGATGGGCCTTTTGTTGATTTCCTTTCATTCGCATCTTATCTTGTACAACACAACCGCTCAACGCGCACTGCGAATTATATTAAGTTATTGTTATTTGTACTGCTTATCTTGACTGAAGATGTAACATTTGATAGTCGTATTTCTGATGAACGCAAAAGTTTCTATGTGAGGCTTTGTCGACAGGTAAAAACACACGTTTCTTAATTTCAAATTATTAGCATTATTGTCTTATATATAATAATTGATAATTATTGATTAACAGCGACAGCCTTTACTACCAAGCGTAAAGAACCCTCGTACTCTAGTTTGTGCAGTATTGGATATTTCTATAGGCTTTATAAACCACAATATGCGAAAAAAATTGCAGATAGATTTATATAGGTTTGCATAATACAATTAATACTGTACGACGTCATCACATTAATTCTTGTTATTAAAGTTTATTTTTATTGTATTTTAGTTTGGCTTTGGGAATTATCCAACGAACAATGTCTTATCACAAAAAATTTAGAGTTGTATTAAGTAAGAACTAATTACTAAATTAATTGCTATTCAGGTTAATTTATATATTGTTTTTTATAATCATATGTTATATTTACTTTTTTTAGCGTATCATTGGTCAGAATTATGGCATTCTTTAATTGGGTTACTCAAATTCATTCTTTCCAACTACGATAATTTCCAACAAGACCATTCATCTATCAATGAAATATTGACCCCAGCAATAAACATCATTAATCTGTGTATCGCATTTGGAGATTCATTTTTTCCGGATACGGAAACTTATGATGGTTTAATTTATGAGATTGTAAGATCAAATGAGGTCTTTGAAGGTTTATATAAAATAGGTGAATTGACAATATAATATGATGAAATATTTATTATGCTTAATACGTTTAATGTTAATAGAATTTTTATTATTCTTCAATCAAAATTATTAGTCAATATACAAGATCCAGCTAAACCTTCATCGCAAAAATTCTCGTCGTTCGAACATGCTTTTGCAAATATAAATACTATTTGTCAACACTTTCATTTAAAGATAGAAGCTTGGAAAGCGACGAATCGAGTAAAAACATTGCTTCCTGAGCAGGTATTGTATTTTGTTATAAACATTCAACGTATATGTATATTTATTGTTTCAATGCCATAACTTATTTATTTTGAATCGTTTATAAAATATTATAGGTCTTGTGTAAGTATTTGTCTAATAGTTTGTTTTTTTTATTAAATGTAAGAAAACTTCTAATAATTTAATAATTTTTTTTTCACTTGATATTTTAGCAATTATTAATGCAAATTATGATAGTTTAAATCTAATTACGCCTGAAAAACTTGATAATTACATTTCCTATAGTGAAATACCATATCAGGTACCTTTCGTTAGACAGGTTTTGAGATTGGTAGTTGAAGATTTTAAGAGGCGTGAAGTATTACTGGATTAAATTATTTTTATGTTGTAAATCTAAAGTCTATTGATTTCCAACATTTGAGATTTTTGTAACGAGTTTATTTTTGGCTGGTTTTGATGACAAATTATGTGATAGCTTTTCAAATTTCATTTTGTTTCTAAAAATATATATATATCTTTCAATCTACTTTAAATTTTAGAATAATTTATTGTTGCATTTTAAATAATAACGATAATATTTGTGACTATAATGTTTAGTTTTTTTGCCCATTAGACTTAATAATATACTAATTATGATAAATTTGTTACACAATTATTAGATTATTCCATAGTAAACTAATATACAGTATTTTAGACTATGTGTGAATTACGAGAATGAATATAGAATAATGTTATACCGTATTGACGCGTAAATAACGCGTAATAACGCGCATCTACGCGTTATTTTGGGACGCGCATGCGCGCGTCAATTCGAATCACTTTGACAAATTTGGCTACAAGAGGAAGCCTACTTTTATTAATGAACTTAGCCTGAAAAATTCGATCAAATATGTAATATGGTACATTTAAGGGGACACGTTATTTGGGAAGACATGGGCGTCAATAAACCAATTTTCAAAAAAATAGGAGTTTCGAAATAACGCCCGTGCGTTATTACGCGCCAGTACGTTGAATACGGTAGAATTATTAAATCAAGAAAGACTTGATCAAATTTGTGGACAGAATATACCGATAATTTAGACAATAGTTTTCGAAATCGATTTCTTGAGCAAAAAGTTTCATGATTCGTAATTTTTGACTCTAAACCCACGGCGTAAATAAGTTTTCACATATACTGTACTTCTTAAGAAATATATCGAATTAAGAAAATCAATCGTGAAATTAGTTACCTAATCTATATTATACCGATACTTATAAGTTACCATTCTGTGATGAAGTCATGCAACTATCCCTAGCTGCTAGTAAATCAATAAATTCTTAATCAATGTAAATAATAAGATGCGTTACATATTTAGGTTTCTAAGCATTTTTTGAATCTAGATTAATATCAAATTCAAATTCTAATGTTTTATAATCTAAAATTATAAATTTGTAGAACTTGATTTTAGTAGAATCATTTAAATTAGCCTATGATTACAATATGTATTATACTGAGCATAGCGAACTTTTATTGTGATTGGTTAGATTTTGTTGATCATCTCGTGATTTTATTGGCCGATCGACCAATCAA